TAAATGCACGAACACACACATTAAAATAAAATGTGCAATTTTTAAAATTAGCATATATTTGTGCTAAGTAGAAGATTAATGGATAAACTGAACAGAACTATGAGTAAAAACTAGAAATGTAAAAATCTATTTTCAGTCTGTGTCAGTTTGGCATATATTCATAAATTAGTATGTTCTGTCTAATGTCCACATTCAACTGCAAATTCATTTCTTTATAATTACACATTCATACGTATACATGTGCATACACCATTGTCCGTAAACATGCTTACTTTGTATGCATTTTCTCCTAATTATACATTGTAATTCAACTTTCCTCACATACATATTTTTGAGCAGGGAACGGTGTCTCAACGTTTGGATGTTATTTTTGCATAATTTCAATGATCCCTGTCTTCCAGATTATCTATTTGTCTGGAAAGATCAAGTAAGGTTGATTTGCTTCAAACAGCAGCCAAAATGAAATTCTTTTTCATCCTCAATACTCGTCCGGACATCTCTCACAGAAAACAAATACTTGTTTCACATGTTAAATCCACAGTCCATAATGTTAAGGATAGCCATGCCAAGGGAAGCTAGGAAGATGATGAAACGGAAGTGGGCCTTCTCAGTAATGGCCCCCCGCTTTGTGGAAGAAACAGCCAATCAAGGGACACTCAGCTCCATCCTTCCCAATATTTAGGAAATTACTGAAGACATAATTATACAAGGCAGCCTTTAAGAACATATTCCTAAATGCTCCTAATTTTTAATCTGAAATTGAGGTTCCCGTTGTATTTCAACTGCATTAGAGTTGGCTATTTTGCTGTATCGAGTACGTGATATGGGAGTGGAGCTGGGGGTGAGGCATGTCAGGTTGCTCATGTTTTACTCTGTACACCACCTAGAGTACCGTGTATTCATTAGTCAGGCGGTGTAGCCATTAAACAAACAAGTAAAATAAAATAAACTCCCTGCTGATGGTTAAAAGATTCACAGGGTTGACAGCGGTACTAGCTCACCTTGCAAAAGATGGAACGGTGCATGTCTTATTGGTAAAACCCTTAACCCTGCCAGCTCTTGGACTGCATTCCACAGTATAAAGGCAGTACACTTGAGAGACACACACACTGACTGTGTACCTTTGGGGGGGGACCCACATAATACTTTGGCCATCTCATGGGAAGAGAAGTCTCCCTGGAAAAGACCCTGATGCTGGGAAAGTGTGAAGGCAAGAGGAGAAGGGATGACAGAGGATGAGATGGCTGGACAGGGTCATCGAAGCGACCAACATGAATTTGACACAACTCTGGGAGGCAGTGGAAGACAGGAGGGCCTGGCGTGCTGTGGTCCATGGGGTCACGAAGAGTCGGACACGACTTAATGACTAAACAACAACAACAACAACAACAACAACCCACATAGAGCACTTGTCTAAGGCGAAAACACAAACTTTTTTTAGCAGATTACTGGAGTGAAAGTGACCAAGAAGAGGTTGACGGCTCCTTAACACTGAAGCAAGAGGGACCCCTCTCACTGTGCGATACCTACCATCGAACACCTTCGGTAAGTGAAGTGAGGCACACCTGAGCCGACTTCGAACTCTTGCACCGCCTTTTCTTCCCTACCATGTTTTGGGCGGCCATCTAATGAGCAAACCAAGACAAAAGTATAAAGTTATTGTAAGGTACAAGAAGATTGCGTGCCTGCGGGATCACGAGCAGGAGTCCGGCATTAAGAAAATCCCACTTGTTTTTTGTTTGTTCGTTAACTTACAGCTCGGTCCTACGTAGGTTTACTTGGGAGTAAATTCCACTACATTCATTAAGGCTTAACTTCTAGTTCAGTCTCCATGAATTGCCCTGTTTATCTCAATTAGCATCGTCTCATTTTTGCCTCTCAAAGAATTAGAAGTATGAAGAATCAAGGAGAAAAACAAATTGGGTACCAAAAGTCTGAGCATGACTGACCTACAGTATCATCAATCCCACCATCACTTTCATTCACCCATTTTAGTCAGAATTTAGAATGTTGCTTTTTAAAAGAACTGATTACATTACTCATTACTTTAAATTAACCAGATTTTTTTTATTATAGTTATCCTTACGCCAATTTACAAAAATTATTTTTTTGCATTGCACAGGTTGATTTCCATTACCAGCATAGCTGAAGAATACAGGGAAATATTCTCTGGTTCTCTCTAGTGGTCAGTTTTGATATTACAGACTTAAAATATCAGGAAAAAATTCAAAAGAAGCTTCTTTCTTTCTTTTCTTTCTTTTCTTTCTTTCTTTTTTTCTTTCTTTCGAATTAGTGATGTCTTTATGTATCCGATTTCAATGTCTTGCCTTCCCGGTTGTTTTGTTCTTCTCTGATTGTTCTTTTTTTCCCCCCCAATTTTATTGATAATTTTTAAAAAAAAAACAAACCAAATGACTGTGGGCAGAAAGGACTGAAAGATTTCCGCATCTCTGCCTTGAATACAGATATCTGAACGGAACATATAAGTCATTATAATTATAATATTTCTGTCCAAATCCCATTCTTGAGCTATACTAAGCCGCCATTTAATCAGGGCCCTGACGGAATAGAAAAGCAGAAATACGAACTTGTTTAAAAAATTTTTAAAAACTTTGAAACTATATGTGTTCCATGGCTACTAAATGCATGACTGATAATTCCAAGAACATGTGGTCTACTTTTTAAAAAAATGAATGTGTGCTTCTAAGTGCAGATAGCACTCTTTCTATTTTTCTTTCAGATTTTTCTTCCGTGGGACTGATGTGATCCTCACACAGCCAGAACCAAAGAGAGAATGACTGAGGCAACAGCATCACATGGGTGGAGCTCAGACTGATTTTTCACCCATGTGATGCTGTTCTACCCACTGGGATACAGGTTAAGCCCCTCTCTTTCTGGTTTCTTTCGGGAGTTTTTTTTCCTTTCGCTTTTTTGCCTTCTCTCTTTTTAAAAAAAAAAAATCGTTAAACTGATACAGAACAAGCAGAATTTGTTGGAAATAATTGGGATTTGTTGAGCAGTCGTCTAAAACTGTACTTCTATACTCGAGTACTCTTTATGTTACCTCTCTATCTCTGTTTTGTTGGAACAGTATTTCACTGGGAAAAGAAAACCAAAAAAAATTTAGAAGAACTGGATATCCAGTTAGGGCTCTTTTGGATAAGGGACCTTCTGGATACCCCAGATAGATCTTAAGAATTAGAATGACTGCTTTTTTATTATTTATTTATTTATTATTTATATCCCGCCTATCTGGTCAGATCAGGACCACTCTAGGCGGCTAGTAAGGAAGTGCACTGAAGCAAGAATAAGAGCAGTTATAACACCCAGTCGCTTAGCTGAGAAATGGTGGGATTCCCATATTCCAAAACCTAGTTTGTCAGTAGCCATTGCTGCTTGATATCCTGTATGGAGATCTCCTGTATGGAGAATTAGTGCAGGGAAATTGTCCCAGAGGGAGACCACAGCTTCGATACAAGGATATCTGTTAGCGGGATCTGAAGGCCTTAGGAATGGACCTCAACAGATGGGAAACCCTGACCTCTGAGCATTCAGCCTGGAGGCAGGCGGTGCATCACGGCCTCTCCCAATTTGAAGAGACCCTTGTCCAGCAGGCCAAGGCAAAGAGGCAGTCCCGAAACCAGCAAAACCAGGGAGCTGGACAGGAGACAGATTGTATTTGTCTTCAGTGTGGAAGGGATGGTCACTCTCGAATTGGCCTTCTCAGCCACACTAGAGCATGTTACCATAGTCTCTCGAGACTGAAGGATGCCTATGCTATTGCTGCTTGATGGTGTTCCTCAAGCTTGGGTCACCCAAGGACTGCAACTCCCAGAAACCACAGTCAGCCCAGCTGACAGTTAAAACTTCTGGGAATTACAGTCCAGGAACATCTGGGTGACCTAAGGTTGGGAAGCTCTGCTCCAGGGATTCTGCTACTACTGCCAGTGTTGCTTATTCAGCGGTTGGAGACACCAGGAGCAAGATAGCAGATTACTGCTCAAGTAGAAATTGGATGATAAAGGTGATAGATCTGCTGGAGGATGGGGCATTTCTTGGGGTGATGATTATAAAGATCTTTATCACTGTAACTCAAGGGGAGGGGCATCTTTAGATGTACTGTCCCCAGTGTGGAAGGAACTGTGAGACAATAAGCAACCCTATTAGGATCAGAATTTTTAAAAGAGCAGGAGACTTGGTCTGTCCATCATATACTGTGTTTCCCCCACCCAGATCATATAATGTACTTCCCTAGATAACAAGATTGTTTTTAATTATTTACAGATGAATTCCTCAAGTCCGTACCCCGAGCCTAAACACAGCCGACACTTCTCTAGTGAATCAACGTATTCTCACTCTTCTGCGGAAGATTCCCGGCAGGATCCGACGGGGACCACACACTCAGCAGGGTGCCGACCGCCCTACCGGGAAAGACGATCCTGGCAGGATCTCATAGAGACCCCACTGACCAGTTCGGGCCTCCATTTCCTCCAAACAGTTCCACCCGACCCCGAGTACGTGAGCGGGCGGCTCGGCTTGTCTCCAGAGAGGCGGCGCCAAGCGACGCTTCCAGTCCAAAGGCGGCACAACCACGACCAGGACGGTCCGTTCCCCTTAGTGGAGGCCCACCGGGGTCCCAGCGCTCACGCCCGGCCTCAGAAGCAACGGAGCCAAAGCCTTCCACGAAACCGAGATGTTCGGATCAAAGGCCGTGTAAAACCCAGTGGGATAACAGAGGAGAAATCGGAAGAAAAGCTGCCCATTAAAAAGCAAAGCAGTTTGTGCGAAGAAGGTAAGAGGAAGCAAGAGAGGTTACAGGAGGTGAAGTGGGAGCCGTGTCTCCGGAGAGCCAGGTTTTTTGTGCGAATGTTCGGATTCTTTGCACCTGCATCTCTAGTTAAAACAGGGATGGGTAACATGTGCCTCGGCGTCCCCATGCAATCCAGACATCTGGTTCTGCATCCACATGCACACACCCCAACATATCTGCTGCTGCAATCTAGCAACAGTGAGAAGCACTTACATTTTCCACTTTTGGAAAGGAAGGAATCCCCGTGCTCTTTCTGTTTCAAGCCATTCGCTGCTGCTGTTGTTGTTTTTATACGTTGCTAAGTCGCCTCTGACTCATGGAGACCCTATGAATGAATGATCTCCAAAATGCTCTGTCCTCAACAGCCCTGCTCAGCTCCTGCAAACCCGAGCCTGTGACTTCCTTTAGGGAGTCGGCCCATCTCGTATTTGGCCTTCCTCTTCTCCTGCTGCCTTCGCCGTAAAGGAGCGTAAATCTAAAGGGTCTTTTCTTTTCTTTCAGATCATGCAGAAGAGCAAAGCGAGAGCACGGATGGTTTGCACGAGTTGTACAAGTCTCTGGAACAAGCCAGCCTGTCCGCCTTTGGAGAGCAACGCCCTTCCACAAAGCAAGAATTCCGGAGGTCCTTCGTCAAAAGGTGCAACGATCCCGTGGTCAATGAAAAGCTTCATCGTATCAGAGTCCTCAAGAGCACTTTAAAAGTAAGTCGTCGTCCTCTCGGACCTACAGAGGGCAAAACAAAAAGTAACAACAACCAACAACTGCTGTTCTAAGAGGTTCTGCTGGAATGTATGGAACAAGCTCTCTGCTGGGCAAAGCGAGGCCACTGCCCCGGGTGGCAGATGCAAGGGGACAGTCGCATCCCTTCTCCAGGTGTTGCTCCTCTCATCCCCAAACAAAAGGGGAGGACGTCCCATGGGAGAAGACTGCCATTCATTGGATAGTGCGCAAGCTTTTGCAATGGATAACATTCCTTGTTGAACGTCTCTGCTTAAAATGATAAGGTCACCAGATGCTAAGAAGAAGCTCTTGCTCCCTGAGACTTTGTAGAGGGGCTTCTGATCAAAAACTCAAGGGCAAACAGTCTGGCCCGGTTTAGAACAGCCTTCTGAGTTCTCAGGTGTCACCACTGAGAAGGCCCTGCATCATCCCCTCGCCCACTGCGCACTATAGGCATGTGATTTTCAGAATTCATGGATGGCTGCTCCTAGAAGTCTGTAGGAATTTCCCCCAGCTAGCCTTCTGAGGGCATTAGCAAATAAATAAATAAATAAATAAATAAATAAATAAATAAATAAATGAGTGAGTGAGTGAATGAATGAATGAATGAATGAATGAATGAATGAATGAATGAATGAATGCAAATTTAAAAAACTGCAATACTTCTGGGTATCTGGAAGCACTTTCAGCTAAGAAATAATGGTATACAGTACCAATAAAAACTGGTATTATATTATCAAAGAAAGTTTCTGTTAACAATGCCTTACAGTTTGCACCAAGTGATAGTTCCAGTTTGTTTCAAAGTCTGCATGTGGTAGACTGTTAATAAAAGTGCATTTTGCACAGTTTTGAATTGTTGGTTGAATTCCTTTTCCTACACAGCAGAAGTACAGAGACTCACAGAGGAGAATGGCTTCATGTCCCCCCAGGAAGTCTACCCCTTTCGAGAGACTCACAGAGGAGAATGGCTTCAAGTCCCCCCAGGAAGTCTACCCCTTTTGCCTTAACTGGCAGTTAAAGTCTCAATAACTCACTCTGAGACATTTGTAGGAGAAAGAATAAAAATGTGTCATTACTTACGGTTGTGAACAGATCAACAGCAAAGCAAACAACTGCTTCCAACAGGCTAAAGAGAGGGGAAAGAGCAACACAGACTAGGCTCTCTTTTAATTCAGAGATGGGAAGGAATGACTGGTTAGGGCTGGATACAATCTGGGGCGATGGTCCCAGAAAGGCCCCTCCCAGTCAAACAAACTGCAGGCAGCATGTGAGGTTGTAAAAACTCCCAACACGGATGACTGGGGTAAAATCTCTCATGTGTAATTAGGGTAAGTGTTTAGATATGGTCTATAAGGGACGTGGTGGCACTGAAGCCTCTGTGCTGCAAGGTCAGAAGACCAGCAGTCGTAAGATTGAATCCACGCAACGGAGTGAGCTCCCGTTGCTTGTCCCAGCTCCTGCCAACCTAGCCGTTCGAAAGCATGTAAAAATGTGAGTAGATAAATAGGTACCACCTCGGTGGGAAGGTAACAGCGTTCCGTGTCTAGTCGCGCTGGCCACATGACCACGGAAACTGTCTACGGACAAACGCTGGCTCTACGGCTTGGAGACGGGGATGAGCACCGCCCCCTAGAGTCGAACACGACTGGACAAGAATTGTCAAGGGGAACCTATACCTTTACCTTTTTTATATATGGTCTAGATGGGTGGGGTATAAATCTAATAAAATAACATAAATATAACTGAAAAGAATATTATCTTTCTGACCTTTGACAGGCAAAGGAAGGCGATCTCACCGTGATCAACAACCTGCTCCACGACCCCAACTTGACGTCCAAAAAATTCAAGGAGTGGAAAATAAAGAACTATGAGTTTTTCCTGGACATTTGTGAGTACAGCGCTGCTCTCAAAGCCCAAAATGGAGCTTCTGAACTCGTGACTCCAACCCCTTTGCTGACACACACACATTCCTTCATCGAAACCCACGTCTGACAGGATGTAGCACAGGGAACACATGGGGTGGGGTGGGGTGGGGTGGGACAACAAACCCAGTGCGGGAAGTCCATCGCGACAGAACACTGTAACCTGTGTAAATATTATACTCAACTGAATTGTAAATAAGTTGGATAAGAAATTAGTGCCACAGGATGCCTATCTGCATTGCATGATAAGAACGTCTTATTTTCCTTGGAATTAATTTCGGTTCTTTGCTCTTGGGTTCTGCATTAGAAAGAAGCAGTGCAGAAAGTGTTCGCCGGCAGAATAAAACAACCCTGTATATTCACGAGTACTGTCTTAAAAGTGAGGAGAGTAGAGAACAGAGCTCTCTGACTATTTTATATATGTAGATATACTGTATGTAACCATATCTATGTATATGAAATTGTAACATGAAAGCTGAGGTTTATTTTTTAAATACTTGGAAATGCCCATCCTCATGATTTTCTTCCACCTCACTTTCACTCTTTTTTTTTAAAAAAAAGAAAGATAATGTAAAGCATTAGAAAACAAAATAAGCAACAGGAAAAAAAGAAATACTACAACAACAGAAATGTATCGGCCACTCCTAGGGAAGAAGAAAATGCAGAAGAACGTTCAAAATCTTCAGCATTTCCAATAAGTTGTAGCTACTGTCTTTTGCAAACATTGAACAAGGCTGGAGTAGCATGGAAATGATAAACAATCCCTTTTGGTGTGCCTTAAAAAAATGTATAGCGTATATATATCCAGGAGAAGAACTTTTCCCATTGCCACTCCAGGCACAAAAACTGTACATGCCGTTGAAATGCTGTGCTATTTTTACAAAATCGTGCCTGCTTCTCAGAGGAGTAATGGCCCTTGAAATGCATGTGTGCGCATCGGGCTCAGATGACGTTACAAGGCAGTCTTTTTATTGTTGTTGTTGTTTTGGTTGAAGCTGTTGTATAAGGCAGCTTCTGGTTGTTTCTGTACGGTGGTGGGACGGCCATCAGAGACCACCACCGCCACCCCTTCCGACAATTACGAGAGCTTTTCGAACGGTCAGCATCGATTCACTGTGAATTTCGTGCCACAGGCCTGTGACCCACAACATTCTGAGACGGCCCTTGGCTGCCTCTCAAAAATAAGGGAACGAAATGGGAGTCTGAGTTCAAAACCACTGTCTCTTATAGATGCCTTCCTGTAGAGTTGAGGGAATCCTTTGTATGTACAACAAATGTTGGACTGTAGTGAGCATGCTCACGCCTCACACCAAATGCCTAAGAAAGAAAGAAAGAAAGAAAGAAAGAAAGAAAGAAAGAAAGAAAGAAAGAAAGAAAGAAAGAAAGAAAGAAAGAAAGATTAACATGGGCCATTGAGGAGCAATAAAACAGTACCAGGGGCCCTCCAAGTGGCCTATGGAGATATTGGCATAGGCTAAGACATTTTGGTCCAAGAAATGAAGATGTCTGAGGCAGAAAAGCTAAGCAGTTATCAATGCAGGGTAAAAAAATATATACTGTATAACAATAAACCAAATAAATGAGCACTTATTGCCCTGTGTTGGTACTCTTAGACATCTTTCCTCAGATGGCCTAGGTACTGATGGTTGAGACTCTGGTTTGGTTTATGAACCCGAATGTAACGAAAGTTTCGCAATTCTCATAGAAGAGAAAGAAAACGTGACAGAGTTGCTCACCCTGTATTTCTCCATATCAAATTGTGTATTACATCTCTATCCTGCCTTCCTTCCTAGGCCACATCATTCTCCTGCCCAGTTTTATCTTGTTAACAACCCTTTTCGTTTAAGAGATCTTGACTAGAGATGGGCACAACCCCCAGTTCAGCTGTTGAGGGCCAGCTTGTCCTTTGGACGCACCGGTGTTTGGCGCTTCCCGGCCCCACTTCCTCTGGCGGGCACCCACGCAGAGGCTGCACCCTGGCCGACCAGCTGGCCCGGTCTCCTCTGGACACGTCCTCTGAGTGGACATCACCTGGAGGAGGTGGGGGTGGGAAGTGCTGGACCCCTGTCTGTCTGAAGGATGAACCAGCACGTACCGGCGAACTGGCCGTTTGGGCCCATCTCTAACCATAACTGCCCGAAGGTCACCCAATAAAATGTACGTCTTGGTAGGAATTTGAACCCAGTTTTTCCCTAACTGTAGCACAATACCCTAACCATTTCACCATGTGAGTTCTTATACTTGGTCTAGATCTGGTGGTACATGCTGGAGACTGCAGATATTTGCGTTAAACAGAGGTTTACCACTGGGGAGAAATAACCTTTCTGTTATTCTTTTTTTCTAAAAGTTTATAAACTATTGCAACGTATTTGTTTACATGAAGATTGTTGAAAGAGCACTTCTTCTCACACACACACACACACACACACACACAGAGAGAGTGTTGCTGCTGCTGCTCGGCCTCTATTCATTTTGTTGGCACTTGCGCAGAAAGCCCAGAAGTCTACAGAAATAAACTGGGAATACGCAACAGCAACGCTTAGTGGGGTGTGCATTCCTATGAATTAGCTTTGGCCTTAAACACCCCTTTGGCAAAGTGGGTAAGCTAAAGATGTGAGGCAGTAGAAGCGATGCATTGCACCTTTCACCCCCCCACACACACACTTCGCTTGTTGTCTGTAGCATCTCAATCAGCGGTGGGCAACACACGGCCTGCAGTAAACGTGCGCCCTAGCGCTACTGAAGGAAAGGTTCTGCTGATACTCAGCAGAGCTGCCTGAAACAAACAATAAAACCCCCTTCCCTTCCATTCCAGAAGGAAAGGAGATGTCCTCTGGTGTGTAAGGGGGAGTCATAGGGTGTGGAAAGGGTTTCAGGAGCACCCCTGGTGCTTTGAGGGCCGTGCCAGCATAACCCTCGGTGGGCTGCATGGCTCCGATGCCAACCCTTCTCCTAAGGAAGTGGCCCATTTCATTGGCCCATCTGTGTACAGCTGCCCTATCTTTTCCCTTAAAATCCATATCCTCAACTGTGCATCTGTTGGGTACACATACATGCATGGCAGACATTGCATCATCACATGCATGGAGACCAGGGGAGGGACATGCAGGCATGAACCCTCAACCCTGCTGTGCACTGACTGCTATCCGGTTGCTAGAGGTGCGCATAGAGCATTTGACAGGGCAGCCTCCATGTGCCCTGTGCTATATTTATGCAAGCTACCCGGATTGAAAGGGGTCAGGCTTTGATATTTAACATCTGTTGTCCCTTCACTTTTTTTAATGCCGTTCACTGTTCACAATCCTGTATATGTAGTTCAAAATGGTGGGGGGGGGGAGTATGTCCTTTACTACTAATGATCCATGTAAACTTTCCTTCCAGAAAACATGTTTACAAGACTGCTTTTAGGCAATAGATACATGTGGCATCTCCATTTTGGTGACAACCCTTAACTGGAAATCAGACCTCCATATTCATTTGGTACTACAGACCATTTCGCCTGTGCACAAATGTAGCTAGATTTCTCAGTACAGCGGTGCCTCGCTAGACGATGATAATCCGTTCCACTGAAATCGCTGTTTAGCGAAATCATTGTATAGTGAGGCACTACTGTAATTGCAACCAAAGGAATGCAATTGTCTCTATCAGAAACCTAGTGCTGGAAATAAATGTACGGTTATTGGAAAGTTTGTTTTGAGAGGCTCTAAATCAGCTTTGAGACAGATCTGTGTTGTGGTCTCTCCCACAAACATGGGAATCCCCCTCCATCCAGTACCAGGTGACTTATAGCAATCCTACATTTTCATGATATGCAATTTTTCTGGAGCACCACTTCTTTAGGGAGTTTTCTGGAGTTTTGCATGAAATGGAATGGCTGCTCTAAACCCCCTGGCACTCACTGGTGCACCAGAAAAGGGGAGTGCCAACCAGTGCTAACAATGGGCATGTATTGTATTGTTACCCTGCTATTGGTTTTGGAGATGCTGCTATTGACCATAGTCTCCACGTCTACAACTGAAATGGAGTGAGATGGAGGAGAGGGGAGGTGATAGATCCGTGGGCAACTCTGAAGGACCCTGCGCTATTTCCGACCACCTTCTACAATGGTTCATACCAACCCCATTGGCAAAAACAGAGATTATTAGAATGTTGCTTGATTTCTCAAAAATAAGGGTGCAAAGATTTTTTTTAAAATCCATTTTTAAAAAAAGGGATGCGGAGCATGATAGGAGAGCCCTAGACACGCAAACTGACTTGCACTTCCTGTGGAGAACTTTTCTTGTATGAATTTGTAACGAGGCATAGTGAGGGTTAGCAAAGCGCTTTTATGAAGCTTGCGAGCAGAGACCGTCAAATGCCCGCAACGGCAGTGCATGGAATAACAGTCTAAAGAAATAAGGATGTCTCCAGAGATGGGCATGACCTTTTTTTAAAAAAATGAGCCGGGAAGTTCATTAAAAAAATCGCTGGTTCGTTGGTTCGGGTTCATCAAAACCGACAAACCTGAACTGACCCGAACCACAACTTTTCTTAGAGTTTAATGAACTTCCTGGTTCGTTCCCCCCCCCCGTCCCCACAGCCTGCCCCCTGCCTCTTCCCACTGCCGCGTTGCATTCCTTCCTGGTCCTGCTGCCACCGCCTCCTCTTCATCCTCCACCTTCAGAGACAGCAGACCTGGCTTCCCTTCCGGGAGACGTGGCCTCTGTGCCCGTGCCAAACTGGTACAATAACTGGACCAACAGAACAGAGAAACACCTTCCTGCACACACACACTTAGGTGTGTCTAACTCCCTTGCGGAAGTCAAGGTAACTAAAACGGGTATAAATCTGGAAGAAGCATACCCCTTTGCTGATACTTGCTTCCGGGAAGAGAGAATGCTGACATATCATGGAAACAATGCTAAAATTACTAGGAGGAGGTCCATTGGCGGTGGAGAAGTGGATTCGAAAACCATTCTGATCCAGCGGTGTGCAACGTCTGCAGATTCAGGAAGTCATTTTTCTAACCCTGGGGAGAGAGGGCACCCGGACCCTCCCCCCCCCCCCCCCCCCCCCAAACAAAAAACAAAAACAAAACAAATTCTACTTCCAGGTTTGAGAAGAGGCTATTGGCAGGTGTTCCACATCACAAAGTGTGGATGTCAATTTTAAATGGGAGTCCCATTAAATGGATGCTTACAGGGGTGGCAATTCATCATTTCCTGACGGCGGGAGGAAAGTCTGATGGGTCCACAAGCTGGAAGAACTAATGGCCACCCCTTATCGAGCCTATGGATGCAGGAAATTCATTACTACTGTAACTTTGATGGATGGCCATCTAACCACTGCTTTAAAATGTCAAACTTAAACAAATTCCCCAGTTTCTGTGTGTCCTGCCATTGAACCCCCTGTACTAAGTTCTTCCTCTTTTACAGTCAAAAACACCTTTCATGTCTTATTAACTCGCTTTATTCAGGAGAAACGTTTGCAGACCTTAATCTCAGGTTGTATGTGCCCAGGATTATAGTCTGATATCCCACCTCACTGTAACCAGCCCCATCACCATAACTAGCGCGTAGTTCCATGAGACTGTGCCATATTTACTGCTGGGTCTGTATCACATCAAACCATGTCTCAAAAATCTCTGGGCACAAGCAAGGAAGTCAGGAAAAGGGGCTGTGTTCTAGCCACCACTGAGACATTTTCATTTCAACCACAAACTCTCAGAAAGTTTGTTTTGTAACTAGTTCCAGTTTTAGTTCTAAACCACCACCCCCAAAGTAATTAGCGGCTGTTACAGTTTCATTTTTAAAAGAAACTTTTCTCCAGAACACCACCAGAAGGAAGGGCTGGCAAACCACTTCTGAGTACTTTATACCCAAGAAATAGGCAAACCATTTCTGAGTACTTTATACCTAAGAAATGTGAGCAAGAATCAGCTTAACAGTACAGTAGAATCCTCTTATCTGCGGGATCAATATCCACTGATTTACATATTCACAGTTTGAAAATATTAAAATAACCCCCATATCCACAGTTTGAAAATATTAAAAGAATAATCCTCAATATATATATTTCTAACAATGAAGTTACCAGAACTGGCCATTAAAGGGAGGCAGAGACCATACTATGTGTAGTGTTAGCTATTATAATTGTGTTTGCTGTTATCCACGTTTTTCAGCATCCACGGGGGGTTATAACTTATTCTCTGTGGATATGGGGGCCCTACTACACTTGAATGAGATGTTTTCCCATCCCAGTTAAATTCTTGAAGTCCTAGTCAGCCTTGCTGCCTGATTTTATTTTTAACCAAATATACCTCATACAGATGGCATTACTTTCCTGGAATTCTGTGAACTTGAGCAGGATTTTTTTGCAGGCTGTTCATATCCCTTGAATGCTTCTTGCTGGCTATGCACAGACGCCATTAATATATCATCCTCTGATTTCCACAACTTCAAGAAGAAATCTGGTTTAGGAAGTACTAAGGAACTTTTATTCAGGCAGCAATCCTGGACTTATTTACATAACATCAAGACCTACTAAACTTATTTGACAACCTGGTTTGTGTTCTGAGTTTAAACCATAGGTTTCTAGATAGGAAAGTGGGCGCAGTGGGTTAATAGCCAGTAACAGAAGTATATCTGTGAAGATTCTCAGTCATCCAGCGGAGGTGATGTGGAAGTTGAGTCCTGGCAACTGGACTTCTTTCTTATTAGCTTGAAACATTTTGCTGCTCATCCAAGTACAGTTGGCATGACTCAACGTCCAGACATCATAGAAATGTTGAAGCCAGGCAAAGAGTGAGAGGAACGAAAAGACAACAGCAGAGCTGTTACTACATTTTTCTCCCTGTAAGAGAGATGAGATTGTTGAATCTATATTATTTTATTTATTTATTTATTTATTTATTTGATTTTTACCCGCCCCTCTAGACCATGTCTAGACTTTATAAAGGGCACAACCAGACCGGCGAAGATGGAGCAATCCAGTTCATGCTTAAAAGCGTCTTAGACTACATTTTCTCTCGCCCTTTAGCCATCCCTCCATTCCCACAGAAATTTCTTTTCCCCATGAGAAGAGACCAGGCAGCTCTTTGAATTGCTCCAATTTGTCCCCTTTTTTATTACTGACACCCCCGTCCCTGCCTTTTCCTCCTGCCTAGTCATCATTCTGTGGGCTACAGCAACTCCCTGTTTTTTTTTTTTTAATTAAATAAAGTAAGCGACATAATGCTACAGCAATGCATCAACCTCGCATGGCATACCTATGATACAAATCACCTCAAATAAGACCACCCACAGCGCTATTTGGATGTGAATTAACCAACCACGTGGGGCTACAGGATGAGATCACGGGCCCCTCATTGGAAGAAATGTGGCATATAAATAAAACGAATAATAATAATCAGGAGCGTTCCCAATAAACTGCAGCCATAGCACTGCGCCAGAAAGGAGTGGGGAGTGTGGCATATAAATAAAATGAATAATAATAATCAGGAGCGTTCCCAACCGGACCCAATAAACTGCAGCCACAGCACTGCGCCAGAAAGGAGTGAGGAAGCTTGGAAAAGATGCAGGACAGATTGTTCATCGTGAAAACACAAGTGGTCGCCAGAAAATAGGGCAAACCGAACCTCACCCAAAGCAAACCAAAATAGTGAGCTATATGCCTGCCTCATCACCCTCATAGTCATTCAGTAAAAGTTTTCCCAATGATAGCTGCTTTTTGAGCTGTAAAGACAAGTTTAAAAATTTGTGGAGGAATTACCTGCTAGACCAGAGGTGGCCTATTTTGGGGCATTGAAAAATGAAG